TTTTTTATTCATACTAAAAACATTTTCTAAAACAGTGTTTTCAATTACCTATATAATAGCATAATTGAAAAGTTTCCTAGCATTTCAGAGTACACACAAAAAATTTATGAAAATACTAATCTTTACAACAGGATACTTAATATCAAAGTGAGATGGAATTACTTTTAAATAATTGTAATCAAATTCAAATCTATAAATCCAATTCATTTCATACGAAATGCTGAAAATTTATAATATTCTGAATTCTGTATTCAATTTTATGTTTTATAACATCACAATAAAATTGTAATTATGGAGATTATAAAACTATATGACTGCCAATTAAGTCGACGACGATTTCATTAAATGATTTCATTTCATTTCAAATGTTTACAGTTGGATTTAATTAACATTGTTTTCAGGAAACAAATTGACAGAGAAAATTGGTTGTTCCAAAATAATTCGAATATTTTATAATCGGAAATCAGGTTAAATAAAATGCTATTTATTTTATTACAAACATGTTTTAATATAATGATTTTTTAATACAATTAAACAAAATCCGTCATTTATATTTATTTATACTTATTTTATAATAAATTTAAATTAGCATGTAACTTATGGTAGTTTAACATTAACTCGCGATTTAACAATTCCGAAAATTTTCTTACACTACTTTACTAATTAAAATTGATAATGATCCTGACACTATTGAGTAACAGATAAAATAAGTTAAAGGTCGTAGGAGAGTTTAATCACAGATCTGTTTATAGAAAATTATGTATGTATATAAATACATGCATAAGGCTACAATTGAATGGCCAGCGATACCGTCTTTAGTACAGTTTGTTTCATTATACATCGTCAGCCTCTAAGTGTTTCACTGGTAATCATATTGTCATAGATTTCTATTTATAAAAAAACCAGAAACGGTAAATTTTTGAGGACAATAACCCATATCATAGTTACCTACTACAGATGAAGGAGCGTAAAACGATCAAAAAGTTTTATGATGATGAGGATAAGTTTGAAACTACTAATTGATATTTCTGGTGAAATGCATATCTGTCGTTGCTAATGTTGCATATGTATTAAGTGGAATATCCCCCAATAATTAGCATATATAATATTTGAGAACAAAACCTACTTATCGCGATTCAATAACAACAATAAATCAATGAGGTAGTAAGTTAAAGGATGTTTCGATAAAAAAGGGTAGGTAATTAAAAAAAACAGACATAATCAGTATTGTCTAAAACAAGACCGCTAACAGTTTCTTGTGTGGAGGGAACGATAAATAAATCCATAGGTCGGTTTGCCTAAACGTAAAAAAGACCCTTCAAGCTTGAACACTCGAATATTCATCACCATGTACTATAATATGTAATACACAAATGACTGTCAATAAAGAATTCATTGTTGAATAGAGTTTTATTTATTTTTTACTTATTCAGCTAATTTCCAAAATAAAAGATAAAAATGAAGACAAAGTCCGCCGTAATTGGTACGTCATATTTTTTTATTTACAACAAACTGTGAGCTACTTATGATACCCGGTTTAAAGCGACTGCTATTTTTGTTGGCAATGTTAATAATATCATTGTTAACTCTAAACCTACACACACTTGCTTTACAAAAGGTTCCACAAAAAAGAAGTTGCATAGACTTCATTTTTTATGTCGGGATTAAAAAGTTAATGTTCCAAGCAAAAGCTATACAGGGTACACCAAAGAGACTAGACTAAAATTATTAAAATACCTTTTCGACTATACAGATTCTTGGCATTCCAGTAACAGTGTTTTACCTGCAGCCTCGAAGTCTGCAGCATCTAATCTTGCTTAAAATTCAGAGTATACGAAAATAAATAGAAAAGAGGAAAACATAGTCCTTCCACTTAATGTACATAACTTTCAGTTTATTTATAATATGTTATCAAGAACTTTGGTGTTTATGGAATGTTATACACCCAACCATTTATAAAAAGTTATTAACAGCATATGAAAAAAAATCTTAGATCTTAGTCGTTTCATTCGTGGCTTAACTAGTGTTTTCAATATATAAGCAATCGAATAAAACATTTTCAAATAACTCCTGGTTTATTTCACGATCACGATCTCTTTGTCAGTATGTCACACATTTAATCTCAAAACTACAAAGATTTCATAATAAAATACCCTGGTAAGAATAAAAATGAAAAAAGTATAAAAATACTATCGTGTAGTAGTTTCAGTAAAAAAATAAGATAGAAACCTTGTGATTAGCTCTAAAAATATATTGCTCTCTTGTCATAGTAAGTAATTGAGTTATTAAATTAAACAGTTTCACAAAGAAAAAAGTTAGATTACTCCTTCAGTTTCTTCACAATATTTCTATGCAAAAATGTTAGTTACTCTTTAATTAGATATCAATTAAATTAATAAACGAATGATACTGAGTTTGATTGTATATTCGATATAAAAGCGGTAATTTTCATGCTATATGTATGAACTGTGCATTAATAAAAAATTTAAATGTTTAAAAAAAACATATTTTTGTATTGTTTTTATTAATTAAATACTTTATTGTTACATAAAATTAAACCAAACCAAAATCCAAATAAATCTAGGTTTACTTTATTACTGAATGATAAAATATTTAATTTTATGTATATTTATGTAAAATGAGAGACTATATATCAGATAAGATTCATATATATCAGAATTTAAACACTTAATTTACTACTATACTCCTGTTGTGCTTTCGAAAATTGTTGGAAAAACTTAAATGAAACTGATATTATTCAGATTTCTACATGTATTTTCTTTTTTTTTAAACTACAAAATATGAACAAAAATTATGATTATTCACGAAAGTCTTAGATGTCATTATGTAAAAAAAACTATTCTATGATTATAAAAAAAAAACGACTAACAGCTTTCTCAAACAAATGGAAACTGGAACTATAAGTTGAAAGAAATCATTGCATTAAATAACTTAAAAGCCCTCCGTAACCTACTTTGTTAGGTATTTAAAGTGGCTCTATCAACTCAACAAGTCAATGCCTTTTGTGAAGTCTAGCTGATATCGGTTTATATAAAAAAAAATATGCAAATAAAAAACATTCTGCATTGAGGGCTTCATGATATCTCGCTATTTTTTATTTATGGTTCGTAGAATAATAGTTCTTATGCTATATTTTCTATAAGTCTTAATTTTATGTACATATATATAAATATTTATCATACCCTTTATCAAATCAAAGCAAGGAGTAGATTCTATACATATCTATGTATGACCATATTAATTCTGAGTTTAATACAAATGTATTTCAAAGAGCAACCATTCCAATACAATCAAAAGAAAAGCATCAGATTCATGAATTTCACCATATCTCCAAGCTACGTCTATAAACTGAATTTTTAATGCTTTGCTCAAAAAAACACTAACAACACAAAGAGCTATGGATCGAAACATTTTCAAACTCAAATAAAAATGAGAGAACATACGCCACTATAAACGAACAAATAAGATCTCCTCCGATTTCTTAGATAAACTTTGTTGGTTCCATCAGAAAAGAGGCAAAGAAAGATTGAAGAAAATTTATTAGTTAAAGGCACATACAACTACGTCACTAAACTATGAAGGCATGAACTAATCATTGACGCTTTACTGTTTATATGTACAATTATTATAATAAACTAATAAATACTAATACATAAAAATATTTAGTGGTATTTTAATCTTTCATAATTTATACAACCTGTTATTTATTGAATTATAACATATTACGTATGATAATTATACGTCAAAATTATGTTAGTAATTATAAATTATAATTATATTTCTTCAATATTTCCATAAATTTAATAATATATACCACAATCTCTTACTTTTGTTTCAGCCATTGTATAAATCTTGTATCTAAATTGAATATGATATGAAGTTTCATAATAAACTTACATCTTATATCTATGTGGAAAAAATAAACAAATACCAAAATGTCAGGAATCAGAAGTGTATTTTCTCATTGTTTTCAATAATACTATAATTACTACTTATACATTATATACCTTTATAAAAGTTTCACATAATAGAAAACCACTTATCGGACCAACTAGCGTTCACAAGCATTTTGTTATTCATACATAATATTTGAGTTTAAATAGACAGGATTATGATAATATATTCCGATTTATTAGGCTCGTCCCAACACACTCATTAATTTCCAACCTAAGCGTAAAATAATACGTTATCGATGTATCCAACTATACACATGCATAAATAATTTTCTATAAAATACAACAATTAATACAATCCTGTCATTTTAATGTTCTCATATTAAACTTCAAATTTATTGAGTTCATGGAAATGTTTTGGGTCTATTAAAGTAGATATATCCATTTATATTTATTTAAAAAGTTTTCTAGAAATAATACAACTAAAAAATATTACAGTGGTTTCATAATGACTCCTCATTTTTTGTTCTTTCATACAGTGCAGGGAGATAAATTGTATCTGAACTTACTCTACAAATATGTATTTTTGTATCAAAACAAACGTATTTGTTTTAAGTCTGAAGTTTACTTACAGATGTCCTAACAACGTATAAGCAGACAAATAAACAATAAGTATTTATTTTAGGTATATATTTACGTCACTTATTTATTTCTTTAAGTATTTTATACATTTTGTTATGTGTACAATTTTATATAGATAGAAGTTCTATCAAAAGTCAATTTAAAACACTTCCTGTTGCTAAAATAATATTCTCACATTCCTCTCCGTTTTTCATTTACCATATAGTCCTTGAAAATCTTTCTAGCATTTAATAACTCTAACGAACATTTTGAAAAGAAATACGTTGAATATTTTCATATCTTTAGAGTGAAAAATAAAATAAATTAGGTGTTTCAGAAACAAACCTTTATATATTTTAGAACCAAATATTACTTTTACATTGAACCTGTGACAATCTTATGAACGCAATGTAAGAACAGAGAGAATTGAAATACCAAGGAAAATCATTTATTTCTATCTTATACCTATACCTATGGAATTCAAGCACAAGTTTTTACCACATACTTTAGCTTGTACCACATACTTTAGTATTAAGCAATGTCAATAATATAGACTAAAAATATTTATCAGTAAATGTTCGCAGTTTGATCAAAGTATTATGAAAATATAAGATAAAAGTGACACGTAAATGTACTCAAATCAAAAAGCGCACAAAGGCGTTATCCTGTTTACTGATAAGCGGCGATGCATCCCCGCCATTAATGAGGACACCGATACACGTTATAACCCATTAAACGTGAAGGCATTGTTAAGGTTATATATAAATAGGCATGTGTCAACTGACATTCCCAAGATAAGCTAAAATAAAATAAAAAATTCCATCTATTTGCAACGCATTATCTAAGTTCTTTAAAAAGATTATTCTTTTAAAAATACGTTCAATAAAAGTAGCTTCAATTTTATTTTTACTCATTGTAGTGTCATTAAAATTATGAATATAAAAATTAAGAGAAAAACTTACCAAGTTACTGATGCCGTATAGAGTGTCATACGATTCAGCTTTGGAGGCGACATTCCTCAATTTGCACGGCTTCTTCAAAGGCGGCGGCGGCTGTGCAGGTCCATGCTTGTGGGAAGGAGATGGCTGCTGGTTTCCACCACCACCTCCAGCACACGCCACGTGATTAGAACTAGACTTATTCTCCTTCTCTTTCAGCTTGCTGTTTTGCGTTAGATTATTCTTTGTAAAGTTCCCAAGCTGCTCGAACATGCTGGACAAGTGCTGCGACATCATCTTGACAGCTTTGACTACACTTTCAACCAAATTCGAACATACATAAGTGCATGACTGATTTTAAATTGACATATTTTAGTCCACGTCACTTCCTACGAGAAAAAGTTTGAGAATAAATCCTGTATTTTTAAATTAAATTCCTTTATTGTTAAACGAAGCCTCAAATCATAAAAATAATGTAACTGAGTAATTTAATTCATTAATTCAGAACATATTTGCTAAAGTAATTTCATTTATATTCAGTTAATTTTCTCTATAACATTAAGATTTAAGTTTTCTTGTTTATATTGACAGTACACAGTCAGAACTATTCAAGTTCCGATACTGCCACGTGTTCCGGTACGAGATATCTCAAGGCTGTCTCTAACTACATATTTAGTTTTAATAATCTAACTATTAAAATATAAAACAAAAATTTTTCAAGTGTATTTCTGAAGACTCCAACAAAAAAGAGTTTGATTATATTTTAAATATAAAATACAATTTAAATGTTATTCCCACAAAAACATTACATTTTTGCATCTCCAAAATAAAATGCTTGTAATAAATCTTATATCGCCCGCCACTTTACTTAATACCACTTGTTGTTTAAATGAGAAAATTGTCTAAGCAGCCGAAAGGCTTTAGAAAGAATGTTGGACAAAAAAATAATGAAGCAATATTTTGAAAGCGCTGGGCCAAAACAAAGCCTGTAATAATAGCCTTCGAAGTTATATCAAAGCATTTGTTTCCGTTCCGCTATGCCGTCTATTTCAATTCACGTTTCTAATGTTGACGCTCGTTGTATGAAGTGGAATGAATAGGGTTTTTTTAATTTTTTGAACTCTCTTTCAAGTCTAAATCAAATTACAAACGAGTTACATGGTGCTTTTATCAAACACGATCAAATTACAAGTTAAATTACAATCGGGAATTGATAAATATTAAAATAATACGAAATGATGTCTCTGAATTAAAACTTTATCAAGAAACAGTTAATCAAAGCACATTGGCATTTCTAAAACAAAGTTTGAATACAAACAACAATGGAAACAGTCACGGTACAAGATCACGGTAAACTTGCCTTATCTTGTCTAAGTTGAAATGACACTTATCCACTTTCAGATGCCAATTGATGGCAACTAATATTTATTGTTTGCATTGGAATCACAGATTTACTTATATATATACTTAAATACATGGTTCCAAAAATTTAACCTGATGATTCATATGAAAATTACAGCAAACAAAACATTCTAATACAAATCGTAATATATTTTCTCGGAATATAACAATGCAGATTTTTTAAATACTATCTACTCTGATAATTCCACTTGAGAGAAGAATAAACTACTTATAAGAAAACACGATCAAACAATATTTTTAGGTATTTTTTCAATAAATGCAGTTTTTCTTAACCCTTTTCAAAAGCAGTAAATAATATCATCTCACTAACAACTGTTAAATGCAATACATATTGTTAAGTTTTATAAAATAGCAATTTCAAGCTATTCTGGTTTTATATAAAGTTGCAAAATTTCTGCAATATTATTCAAATACAAACGGTTTCGGTATTCATTTAAATACTTTAAGTGAAATTAAATCAGCCAGCGTCCAGAACTGTTTCTTGTAATAACATAATATACTTTTTTTGTTATTAGCATAATTGAATTGAATTTTTACGACCACTCTACGTTTAATACTTAATGAATCCTAATTAATTAAAAGTTTTGACGTAAAATAAAAACAAAATAGCAGTTATGAAATTAAATTAGAGTTAAACACTTTGAAATCTTCTTCAATCTCTTTCCACAACAAGCTATTTAAAAATAAGAGTTCTTTCATTATTTTTCCAACAAAAAATAAAAATGGAACCTGTTAACGGAATCTAAGTATATATTTTTTATTTGTACTATAGTGACCTCGTGGTGGCCAGAATTAAAAATAAATACGAAAAGCGTTAAAAAGTGTAAGCAGTTTTAAATTGGTACGCCGAAATAAAATACTGGTAGATTGAAGTAGAACTGTATTCCGTACTGCAATATCATTAATATTCATTCTGTGGTGAAAAAACTACAAGTAGCCAAAGGTTTTTGAATGGATTCTAATGACTAGAAAGCGAATGTTACAAAAATAATTCTACCAATAAAATCGTTACACGTACGGCAGCGAGCAAATACGTGAAAATGTATTTCTCTTTGCCTTCTGTTACACGTTTACCAATATACCAGTAGTCATAAAATAGCTTAAATATTTAGTAATAACATACGTTACTTGCAAACTGTAAATACAAGTAACTAAACTTTCAGATTTTGTATCTTAATTAATTATTTTTTCATACAAATTATACGTAAACTTTTTCTAAGTATATTTTTTTGTTATTTAAGGAAATAAAAAAATATTAAACATATCTTTACTACATTTTAGAACAGTATAAGACAAACATTTAAGACTATTGTTCTCAGACGTTACGTATATTTTGCAAATAAAACTGCAATGAACATATAATACTGTAAATCATTGGTTTATACAGCTATACATTATTGAACTGAAAAGCTTGAAAAGAAAGACATCTAAAATTTTGGAGTACACATTTAAACTGAACTAAGTTTTTAGATACTACGCGTTTTTCATCACACTGTCATCTCGTCCACCCGTGATCACGGGTGCTGTAAAGAGACCAAAACGTAAAAAAACTTTGAGTCGTTTAAACCACAAAAATAATTGAATTAAACTTTACACCAACTTTCGCTATAAAATTATACGTTTAAAACCAAACCTACAATGCATATGTCTGATTTAGCAATGAGCTATACGATCGAAGATTCTGAAAATAACAGATTACAAATTATGATTATCACGTTTGTTTGTGCTGTTGTATATAATTTGCAATAGTATTCATCACAAAACTCTAATCTCTATTCGTACTGTACGTTTAGTTCCCAATTACAAACATATCAACTCGTTTTCCCCTCGGGCCATCATGATATAGTATGCACACAAGAATACCAAATACTATTCCTGCCTGTACCAAAATCAAAACATTCGGTCTAAAAAACCGTTCGTCGATATCGTTTTTCATGGCAAAGTCGCGATCTTCATCACAGAAAGAATTTTTATGAAATAACTTTTTACTGGTATTTAATAATTTAAACTTATCTTTTTAGTTAATTATGAGTATTTAAATATAAACAGAGTTTTATTTATTTAAGCCTAAAACTTGAGATTTTAGAAGTTTGGGACTTCAATTAAATAAGCAAATAATAAAAATACTTACATTACATATTCACGACGCATCTTATAATTCTTACTGTCTTGACTGATATAATCTAAGCCAGAATCGATTCTCTATAATATAATTTAAAGCCACTGCTCTTTGCGACAAAATAAAAGGTTTATTACAATCTAGCTAAGACGTAGCTTACGAATTGCTATAACTTTTTTTTAGTTTTGGCCCTTATGAAACTGAGGTGACCTTTTACTCTTCTTAAATGTTCTAATATAAATCAAAGCCACATAAACATAATAATATGACAATTACATATAACAATTTTATAAATATCGGAATAATTAAAAATTTATACATTTTTTTAACTATTACACCTTTTTTACTTGATTCAACAAAACCATAGGACAGAAATATGTTTAAAGAAATGAAATATATCCAAATAAGCTTTTTTTTGTCGGACACAACAAGGATTATTTTTTTATAAATATAACAAAGGCATATTTATAGTACAATACCGAATTTAAATATTACTCTTAATCAAATTTAACAAAAAAACATGCGATTCCTGTTAAAAACATACAATTAATTAAAATTTATTTATTAAACGTTAAACGACGGAATAAATTTCAAAAAAATAGTTGCTTCATCTGCCATTATTGAATTAGGATGAATTTTAATCGGTTTAAATATATTTGGAAAGAACATTTTCTGTTATTATTTAATTTAAATGCGATGGTGAACACCACAAAATATATATGTAGCTATTTCACAAATAATTGGAAGTACAAAGTTATTAAAATTGTATTAAAAATGTTATTTTAATATATTGAATATAAATTATATAATAAATAAATTTTTATTTTTGTAAAACTGATGACATTGGTGCGTGCATTAATATTTTACTCGCTCCTCTTGTAATAAATGGATAGTTGTATTTTTTAAGCGTAAAATGGGTGACACAAATTTATACTCTTGTCAAGTTTTAACACTCACAATGATTTAATTGTTTATAAAAGAGTTTTAAATACGTAACAAATGAAAATTATGTACAAAGTATGCGGCAAAAATTTCAAAAGCCTGGTTCCGTGACTAACGTGTGACTAAACTAAGACACATTTTAAATAGTTGTAAAGTATTACGTACGCATAAACCTTTTATATAACTTATTTGAAACGAAGATGTAATAAAAAATAGACTTGCCGAATATTTTAAATATATCGGTTGTTTGATATCACTGTAATATTTCATTTGATAATGGATTAATCTAAATATTGTTAACTCTAGAAAAATAGTTAACTCTTTAATCTTAACGCATTAATTCTTAATTAAAAAGCAAAGTTTAAAAAATAAAAAGAGAAAATTAAAATACAACCAATCCGCTTAGTAAAATATCTTCATAAACAATAAATTGTTTTATCTCTTTTTTAATTTCCTTCTTATAAAAGGTTTAGTTTTCTACAATTTTTGTGTTTATTAATATAATATTTTTTGTAGTTTCAAAATTAATAATATTTGTTTTATTAAGTATATGTCACGTCACTTAAGCAAAAATATTATAATTAAACGGATTATTTAATACAAAAAATAAATGCAATATATACCTATACTTTCCTTATTTTCGTAACTTTTTATGGTTGTCTTTAATTTTAAAAATCATAACGAATTGATATTTACATTTTTTCGTAAAGGCAACGTTACGTTTATGATTTCTTACTATTGTGTAATTTATATTTGTTTTATCCAAAATATTATTTTTATGACAAAAAAATACTTTCAAATATACTTAAGCGGA